AACCCCCCCCCCCCCCTCCCCTCAGGGCGGTGCTACTGACAGAAGTGTCTTTAAGCCATCCCCAAAGTAAAATTTTAAGTGGGCTGATTTATCAATGTCAAGCTCATAACTGTGCCTTAACTGCAACAGAGGACTGCCGCTTTTTCTTTCCTAATCCTTACTATCGTCATTTTTACTCTACTTCTTTTGTATGATTGTCACACTCTTCTGACCCGTATTTTGAGAGGTGCCTTAATTTTGATAGTCGAAGCAGACTTTGTGCTGTTGAAGCTAGAAAGGTGAGCAGAGTAAGCCTGATTCCCTGTATGGACTTCTCTGTTGGCATCCGCCCTTTGGCGCTCATATGACCTTATGCAGTTGCGAGGGCCGTAAAAACTACTAGGCCTAAAACTCAACTAGGCTAGTCATACCCATTTATAATACAAACTCTCTGGTGTCACATGGCGATAAGACTCTTTATGCGGTGACATTCGGTAAACTAGTGGTTTTCGGCAAACTACCGCTGTTAACGTATGTTTACGATTGTAACTTCCTTTTTCCGGTTTAGGTTCCCCGAGACCGAAGCTATCGTATAAAGTCGAAGGTGTAAACCTCGATTTTATTCAAAATGGTGAGAATTTTATACACTTTTTGCATAAGAAAATGCATTGAGATATGCCATAAGACTAGCTGGTTAGATTTTTTGGCAAAGATGATCATATGATGTTCAGATTGAGATAGATATATTGTGCTGTCATGCCTCCGCCTTCAAGGTAACTCGAAGCAGTAGGCTTTTTCTCACTAAGCAATTTGGATGAACATTTAATTTTCCATAGTCATTGCTAGATCTAGAAAACGGAATTTTTAAAAAAAATGGCAGCCTTGGTTTGGACTCATGAATGCTCAGTCAGTAGGCCTAGATCTAGTCTGCTGACAAGGGAGGGTGTCACATGCATGAAGATTAGGAGGCACTGGCATGGGTCAGGAGAGCCAGACTCCCCTTAGCCTTAGACTACAACACTACAGCTGCTAATTTACGTGCCCTTTAAGTTGTCAGAACAGCTCCAGTAAGATGGTGGACCCAACACTGAACGAAGCCGTGCAATGGTCAGCCCAACCTTCAGTCCATGGGTCTCAATATTCAGCTATTTAGCGGATTTCCGCTACCGTCATGTCCTCTGCTAAACTCCACTACTGGGAAAGCGGGTCAATCAGAAAGAGAGTTGCTGGGAGCAGAGTGACTGCAAGGCCTCGGGAATTACCCGGGAATTTGAAGGGGAAAAAATCGCCGAGACGCGGGGAAAATAGGCTACATAAAAGATCTCGAATATTATTTGAAAACCAAATCCGATGTCTTTAAGTTCATTTTTGCCGGTCGCGATTAGGATGTGATGTTAATTAGACTTTTCCCGGTGTGAGAGTACGTTTCAGGCGAACAGGTGGCTATGGCGGCAAGCAGAATTGTATGTGACACCGAGGCTCGATTGGAAAATCAAGATCTCAGAAACTTGTCTGTAAAAGTTTGAATATGTAACATTTGTAACATGCAGGTTCTGCATTACAAACGTGGTGTCACCAGGAAAATAATGTTCGTCACTGTGCTGTCGCTTGTGGGGGGGGGGGGGGAGAAAGTAATACAAGCGTCTTGTCGGGCTCGTCATTGTGACCGGTCAATGAACCTGCGCACGTTCTGAGCGCTGTGAAGTACAAGACTCCGGAATGGGGGGGGAGATTATTGATTTTTTAAAACGAAGTGTATACAGTCCCGGTAACCAGGAACAGTCTCGAAGTATACAGACCCGGTAGGGGAACTCTTTTATAATTTCGGGAAGTTTCAGCCCCCAGACCCGGTAGAAATCTAGTGTGTGTGTGTGACAGAGAGAGAGTGGGAAATAGGTGCGGACAAAGAAAGACAGAAACAAACAAAGAAAAAGAGAAGGCGAGCGATACACAGAGGAGAGAGAGGACTGCTCGATTGAAATTATGACATTGTAACTTGTTCTTTTCTTCAAATTGTGATTCCTCCATCCAACTCCAAAATGAAGGAAAAACGATCGTTCATCGAAAAAACATCCGCAATCTTCATTTAGATCTAGGCTAGCCGCGAAACTAGATCTAGATCTAGATCAAAGATTTAAGTCCGTCTGTCTAGATCTAGATCTAGACCATATATCCAGAAGAACCTAGGTCTACCCCGAGCCAAGAGGGCGCTGAAACTCTCCGAAATCACAAAAGAGTTCCTTTGGGTCTGTATACTTTGTGATTTTGTTCCCGGTTACCGGGTCTGTATACACTCCCTTTTTAAAAAGATACACTCGGGGATGGGGGGAAGGCTAGACACAACACCAGAGGCCAGAGGACAAAAAAAAGAAAAGAAATTGGAAGCAAATTTTAATATTTAGTCTAGAATTTTGGGTGCTTTTTCGGTAGTTCCCACCCCCCTTATTTGAGCCTGACCTACATCTAGATCTAGATCTATACGTTTGATTCGCGGTGAGCTAAGATATCAAACCTAACAACTGCAAAACATTAAATTATGGTAAAATTCAGGGGGGCATGCCCCCCTGAAACCCCCTTCCTATTTTTATTAGGTCAGGGGGGCAAGCCACCCTGAAACCCCCCTACTCTTGTGGCCCAAACCCGTGAATAAAATTGCGGGGTGGGAACTTACTGAAAAAGCGCCGAATTTTGTTTACTAGTCTAGATCTACTACAGCTCTCTTCAAAGTAAAGTGCGCGTTTGTGCATGCTTTGTGTATAATCGGGATCCGTCATAACTACTTGTAAGCATGTTAATGAACTTAAGGCAGGGGCCTAAGTGGTCGCGTTTCATTGGATGGGTGACAGTAAATTATGTCTCTATATTTTAGCTTTTTGTTCAAGATTCGCAGATTTTCAGTGTCACTGTACCTTGCCCTCCAACAGTTCTTACACCTCTCACACTGAATAGGTTTACTTGAGCTATTCAAGTTATTACTCTACTTTGAGTTTGAGCATTAATTTTGTCTTTCACGTTTATTATACGAATCATTACACCCAGACTGGTTCATGACAGTCAATATTCATAATTCTGGTTCTAGGCCTTTTCCCAGGCTCAAAACAAGATTCATTTTTATAAAGATTTTAGTTTATATAGGCGAATATGATGAAGGTAAAATATAAAAATAAGTCGCACAAAAACACAGTGCGCCTCCACTTTCTGTACGTAATCAAGATTGTAAATATTTGGTATTTGACTCTTACTTGAAATTATCTTCCAAACCCTCAAACTGGTATGAAATAACCTTGCATGATAAATTGATGGTTTTTATTTCAACATTCTAGGGTCCAACAGTATAATAATAGTGGGTGTCTCACTAAAATGGGCTTCTGTCGCGATAACGCGGAAAGTTCCTCCTTTTTAAAAATTCTGAGATGAGACCCATGCAGTTCCAAACAATGTGCACAAGTGCCATGCACCATTGTTTAACTCTTATTTAGCGAGAAGCCACAGTTGTAGTTCAAAAAGTACAAATGTGGACTGTGACATGACTCTTTTTTAAAAGGCTGATGTTAGGGGTCCGTACGCCCCCATAGTGTTTGGCGCTAGGGGACAGTACGTCCTACCTGCGCTAAGGCGTTGTGTTACGGGACCGTACACAGATGCATGCATCTGGACTTTGCAAAAATACTGGAGGAAAACGGCCAGTTTATTAACGAAGCTCCTGACATTAGGAGTTATTGCAAGAATGTTTAAAATATCTGAATACGATTGTGAGGTGTATCCATTGGTCGTGGGTGAACCAGAATTTGAAATTTGCTCACGTCGGCACCCAAGTTGTTGTTATGTGTCAATAAAAGAAATCCAAGAGAGTGAGGGAGAGAGAGAGAGAAAAGAGAGTGTGAGTGTGAAAAACAGACAGAAAGGAAGTGAGTGAGAAAGAAAGAAAGTAAGGAGGAGTGAGAGAGAGAGGGGGAGAAAAAGTGTGAGTATGTGTGTGTGTGTCTCTGTGTGTGTGTGTGTTAGAGAGAGAGAGATGGGGGAGGGGTGTTCGTGAGAGAAAGAGAGAGATGAACAAATTTACACAAAGGGAATGTTTTGGACAAAAATGAGAAGGATAATAGTGTGTGCTCAGGCGCATTCTGCTGGCAGACGTGAGCACATTTTTAAGCTTTGCGACCTAAATAGGCCCCTAGCCCCATTTGATGACACTCGTAAACGCCGGAAATTTACTCACTTTTGCATGAGAGAACACGCCTGAGCACACACTCAGTCTTGATAGTGCGCAAGACGGATCAACTCACATTCAGTGACAATAACAATAACATGAAAAGAAAGGAAAAAGAAGACAGCTTGGAAAAGGTAGATGGAAAACAAAACAAACTATTGTAGAGACTTGACAGAACGTCGGGTAGTGAACTAAGCACAGACGAAATAAAGTTTATTTGCAAGCGCATTACATATTATGATAATAACTGGACTACCTTTGCGCACAGGTGTCGTGTAAGTGTAACAATAGCACGGTCAAAAATTCCTGGCGCAACTTTTCCTCAAATACACTGTATCTCTTTAACGGAAGAATCAATGTCACCCATACTTTGCACAACAGTTTATTTTTTAAAAGTGTCTTAACTGAATCATATTTTTCCACAACTGAGGTTCGATCAACAAAATGTTCTTCATAAATTTATATAAAATACTAGGCCTATAAATCTCCATCACGCGAAAAATGTGATTGTTCATAGCGCTTCTCGCACACATTTTGCATACGCATATGGCCTACGTCATAGCTCGCCAATGACACTTTTTAGTGGCAAAACTTCATACAAAAATTTTTTTATAATGAACACATTCTTTTTACACTAAAGGTTTCCTAAACATACGTTCAATAAGCATGCATGCTATTGCGATTGGGAAAAAATGACTGACTTGCTTTTAAAAGGCAAAAGTGATATTGCCGGAGCTGTAAATTTTTTTTAATTTGTAGAAACAATCGACTGGGATTTTTTATTAGTACTTATTAAGGAATTTTCTAGATATTTCACAATAAGTTGCGCCGTGCATTTTTGACCGCACTATAGGCGTAAGTTGGTATACTATGAATTTAATTTGTACTCTTAACTCATATTCCACGCAAGGCGTTACAATTACATGATTAATGATCTCTTCTCAATCTAATAGCATAATTATACCCTGCCGACCCCATCGTTCGCCCCCACATTCCGGTCGCCAACTCTTTCCACCTCTCTCTCTTTCTCTCTCTCTCTCTTTCTCTCCCCCTCACTCTCTTTGATTTCTTTTATTGACACATAACAACAACTTGGGTGCAGACGTGAGCAAATTTCAAATTCTGGTTCACCTACGGCCACTGGATACCTCACAATCGTATTCAGGTATTTTAAACATTCTCTTAGTAATAATTCCTTACGTCAGGAGCTTCGTTAAACTGGCCGTTTTCCTCCAGTATTTTTGCAAAGTCCAGATGCATGCATCTGTACGGTCCCGTAACACCACGCCTTAACGCAGGTAGGACGTACGGTCCCCTAGCGCCGCGCGCTATTGGGGCATACGGTCCCCTAACAATAGCCTATTTTTAAAAATGTGTCTCAGTGGGAATTGTGATGGAATACATCTGTGAAAAAATTAACATCCAGGTATAGCAGATTGCTGTTTTGTGGGCCCAGGGCTCGATTAGATGGATTGTTTTCAAAGGAATGCATTGATGAAAGTACCTGTACTACATGTATCTTGATGATGTGTATTTCATAATATTGTGTGTGTTTACCTAACGTTGTTTCTCAAAGCGCGTAATTTTCAGGCGTAGGCATGTTACTAATTCGGATTTCAGGTTTTTGAACCTGTCAGTGCTTTCACCCATGCTGCCAACGTAGAGTTCAAGTTTATTATCCGGAGCGTTCGGAAAAATAGTCACTTCTTTACCAAATTGCTAGACTGCATATTTTGTGCACTCTGCTAGCGTTCCTCTACGCATTCATGGTTAGTCGTCTTTAATGCGACTTGAAAATGTTCATTGATCAAGAAAATTGAATCGTGAATTAAAAGAAAATAGGTACTAGATCTAGCCACATTAGTGTATGGAATGCTGACGTTGGTTTATTTATATTTTTTTAATTAATGGTTTTATTTTCTCTTTTCTAAAAGGGGTTCGTGAAAGTTGTCAAGAGCAAGGCCTACTTCAAGAGGTTCCAAGTCAAGTTCAAGAGGAGGAGAGGTATGTAGTGCAGTAAAAAATAAAAAAGGTTGTAATTTGGCAGGCAAAGAGTGGCAGCTGCTGAATTTGTAAGATATCTTAGTGACTGAGGCAGCCAGTTTCCATGCGTACGGTCAGGATTGTTTTAGGCTGTTTATGTCTGTGTGCCATGGAGTTGTACCCTGTATTGCTTCCAAAATGTACAGTGCTTCCACTCTTTCATATTTTTACGGAAATCAGTACTTTCTACCAGTTCCGTACTTGTTCCTCCATCATCAACTAGCTCCGTAAAAAAACTGCGACAGTGCAGGACTGCCGAAATTCCGTACTCACCTTCATATAGTCTTGTATAAGTTACGGATATTTACGGTAATTCTCTCGGCAATAAGTAAATGTTATAGAAACCTGCCATATTGTTCATTTCGTTCAGTCGGCCATTATTCTGCTATGCCCTGTGCATTCATTGGGGGTTGGTCAGCAGTACATTTTTTACCTGCAGATGGATCAAAATCAGGCTAACTTTTTCTGCCAATTTCCTCCTTTCTATCATTCACTCATTCCTTCTATCTTCGGATTGTTGCCGCGGCTGGAAATTGAGTTGTAATCTTAGACAGAAAATTACTGTCAGTAAGAAACATTTTTTGCAAATTTATCTAGATCTAGAGAAATTATCAATGCGAAGATTCTACGGCACGTGAACGCGATTAAGGGCCGCGATTAAAGAAAGATATGCTGATATGGGGTGCCCATTACGGATGGGATCGCCCGACTCGGTCGCCTCAAAAATGAACATGTTTTCAGTTCCAGCTGTAGTTAAAATCAAGAATTATTCGAAGTGATGTTCCGAGGTTGTGACGGGCAACAATCAGACGTAAAAGTTGAGGAAAATTAGGGTATACGCTGGGCAACTGTATTCTGGAGGTACATATTATCTTTCATTATTCCCAGGTTTGCCTGCTATCAATGGTACGACGACAAATTATAGTAGCAATGACAGGGAAACCTGCTTTTAAACATTGCCAGCAATGGAAAGATATGTTGGTGAAGAAATCAAACAAGACCAAATGTTGGCGAAAAAATAAGTGTTGTGGGCTGTAGGCAATCTCTTCAAACAGGCTCCCAAATGCCATTTTTAACCTGCCAAAAAAGCACTAAATTTCAATTTCTTCAGGGGCTTCGCCCCTTGAACCCCCGCCGGGACTCTGTCCCTGGGGCCCCCAGATCCCCGGCAGAATTTTCCGTACTTCAGCTGGTGGAAGCACTGAATGTAGCGTTACAAAATCAACAGTACAAGGAATGCAACGCTGCAATTCAAACCAGTGCATGTTTAAAAATACTGTCCGTTTAAATCCCAACATTTCACTGAAAACTTTATTTTGGAGGGTTTCGGATGGGGTGGGAGTTCCCTCTTAAATGGGTTCCGAGTTAAAGAGCTTAAAAACTTGTTTTTTAACCTCCTGGCCGCAAGTATGCAATGGCAGAATTGATTATTTTTGTGTGTATAGTGAGATGTTTTGTTGGAAAGTTCTGAGGTGGGTCACACTTAACATAAAAGTTGGTAGTCCAAACAGGCTAGGCAGGTGGGTGAAGTCACCGCTTTTCCGCTAGCCTCAGTGTTTTGTACTGTTTTCACAACCATTATTCTGCTATTTCCGCATAGTCTGATTTGTCCAACGTATCAAAAAAAGGTCCACCCTAATTCTGTTTTGTTTTATGTATTTGATGTTGTAAGTTTTTAACGTTAATTTAAATGGCGTGTTGGTGCCGCTTTTGAGAGCACAAAAACAACCTGTCGTACATTGACACCTCGCGCTTCATATAAATGGGGAATTTGAAACTATAACAAAAAGAAAGTCAATAGATGAGTTAAAAATTGATTGTTTGTGGTGGATTCAATTATAAAGTCCAAAAAATGTGAAAATTAAAGAAAAAAGAACTGAAATGTTGCTCTATTTAAATTAGATATGCTAAAATCTTACCAAGGGCAACTGTACGCGAATACAAACCCATGACAAAATGTGACTTCCTGTTTGATTTTGCTATCAGCAAAATGAACCCGAGAGTGAGGTTAGCAACACTCCAGACCGCAAGTTGGCTAGAGTACATCTTGAAAGAAAAGCTCACTTTGGACCAATAGGTGAATAACATTCGCTTTCTCAGGCTGGGAAAAAAATAAGCTTGTTTTGTGTTACCAGAAAAAGAATATATTTTACCCCCACCAAAATTTTTTTATTTACAGAGGGAGTGACTGACTACTATGCCAGGAAGCGCCTCATCTTCCAGGACAAAAACAAATACAACACCCCAAAGTACCGCTTGATTGTCCGTTTCAGTAACAAGGACATCGTCTGCCAGGTATGTCATAACTGCTGTTTAGTGTCTCCCCTTTATTTAACCCTTAAAGCCCTGCCCCCATGAGGCTACTGTGTCCCTCTGCCTGAGCCCCTGAGTGATGTACTAACATTCATAAGATTGTCTGAATCACTTTCTTTATCTCACTCAGGACTGGGGGATCTCGTGGCCTACAGGTTAGGGTGTTCGCCTCTCTTTCAAAGGTCACGGTTCGAATCCGGGAAGCGACCAAAAATTTTCTTCTCTAAAATTGTCTCCTTTCACCCCCTTTCCTGCTCTCTAGCAATGTTCTGTCGTCTGCTATGGTTTTCTCTTTCTGCCCCCACCCCCTCACCTCCTTTGTCCCTCCTCTGGGCTCCTGACTCTTTCTGCAGCCTTTCTACTGCAACTCCTTGGCTCCTTCTTACTGTCTTTCAGCCACACCCCTGGTTTTCTGGTAGGAAAGATCTACATCTAGCCTTCTCGGACATGAACGAAAAATCTCGGAGGGCCCGTGTGCAAGTTGCGCACATTAAAGATCCGTTGGTAGTCTGAAATCGTTAAGAGAAGGCTTTAAAACACACACACACACACCTTACAAAATTCAAAATTTCTGTCCAGCTGAAAAGTCCCGCACACTCATATGAGCTTATGCAGTTGTGAGCGCTGTTTAACTTGCGTGTGCGTTTTGTCTCAGACGGGCTGGGTTGGAGATACAGTCTTGCTCACCGGTGTACAGGTGGCTATGCAATAGTGCAGTTTTACGTGCCACCAGTATACCGGTGGTAAGGGCTCAAAGGCGGGTGAAAAATGAACTATATAATTTACAATTTGTATGACCAATTGTGTGTTATATGCTGAATTCTTAATTTGATGATGACTTATTATTCTAGATGTTTGTATTGGGGGGCTCTTGTGGTCTAGAGGTTAAGGTGTTGGCCTCTCATTCAGAGGTCCCGGGTTCGAATCCGGGTAGCGACCGAAAAATTTTCTTCTCTAAATGTGTCTCCTTTCACCTCATTTCCTGCTCTCTAGCAATTTTCTGTCGTCTGCTTTCGTCTCCTCTTTCTGCCCCCACCCCCTCACCTCCTTTGCCCCTTCCTCTGGGCTCCTGATTCTTTCTGCAGCCCTTCTACTGCTACTGCTTCGCTTCTTCTTACTGCTGTCTTTCAGCCACACCCCAGATCTTCTGAAAGGAAAGATCTACACCTAGCCTTCTCGGACAAGGGCGAAAAATCTCGGAGGGCCCGTGTGCAAGTTGCGCACGTTAAAGATCCATGGGTGGTCTGAAATCGATAAGAGTAGGCTTCTGCCGCCACCCGGAGCTAAATTCAAAATTTCCTACCATCTGAAAATATTAGGTGTGTCCAGCGCGCTCATATGACCTTATGCAGTTGCGAGCGCAGTAAAACACTTTACAAAAACAAAAGATGTTTGTAGGCCTACTCGGTTCATTGAATGTGATTTTTGGGGGGGGGGGGGGTGTCTTCCATAACATTTTATTCTTTTTATGTCATTTTGTGTAGTAAGAGCAAATTCGATCCTGGCACCTCTTGTTTTGTTTACACTACCTTTTGCCTTTACAGATAGCCTACGCTCGTATCGAAGGTGACGTGATTGTTTGTGCTGCCTACGCTCATGAACTGCCAAGATACGGCGTGAAGGTCGGGTTAACCAACTATGCTGCTGCATACTGCACTGGATTGCTTTTGGCAAGAAGAGTAAGTATATATTCTTTCATGGAAGTTTACCAATGTATTAAATTTGTGTGTATTAGAATAATTTTTATGTACCGCAGACCTGTCACTCATCCCGATTTAGTCGGGTTATCCCGATTTTTTTGCTCCAAATCTCAAGCATCCTGATTTTCCCGATTTCGATCGCGTGTATCCCGATTTTTTGTCCCAGTCTGCTGTTGTGTCGGATTTTTATTAAAACGTACTCTGCCTTCTCCTTTATCGCGGGAAGCACCCGTTGAACTTTTTGTCAATAGGAACTCGGAGCACTATTTCCCGAAATATCGATGCCGCAGTTAGTAGTTGACTCGCCCCAAGTTGTGTGTGATCTTTGCCCGCACTCAGAATTCTCCGATGATAGCCTGGTAACTTACAATTTGGGACATACAAATAATCTATAATATTCGTAGTTCCGCTGCTACTTTCAAAACAGGCCTTGTCCGAGGTCTGGTAACTGTGCGTTCACACCAAACACTCCGACGAGCGACTGTCTTTCTAACCCTTACACAACTACATGTAACTGCACTGACAAGACAAACATACGGCCGTTGTCGTTGCTTTAGTCTGAACGCATTATGAGGGATAAGAGATTTGTTGGTACAATTGGTCGGTCGGACGCTGTTGTTATCCAAGAGTACTAGAAGTGGAACGACTGTCGCTCATCTGAGAGTTTTGTGTGAACGCGCAGTTAGTCGGACCCGTTAATAAAATTGTTTCAATCGCGCATTCGCGTCACGTGACATGGCATCGCCGTGTGTTCTGCGTGTCGGTGTCAACTTAAGTTCATGTATTTCGGGACTTATTGGTTGGGGTGGGGAGGGGGGTATAGACACTTGGACTAGGAGTGCTTGACGTGATGCTTCAGGATTTACAAAAAATAATGATAACTCGCACGCACGCGCACACACCCACACAAACACGCGCACGCAAACAAAGACACCCAGGGGGCATATAGGCCAAGTAATTTATGGACACCCCTGGAAAAATTCTAAGTCAGCTTTGGCAGTCACCTTGGTGATTTGGTGTTGATCACGATTTTTTTCACCAAATCCCGGTTTTTTTCTCCCTGAGATCCTGATTTTGAGGTTTCATAGAGTGGCAGGTCTGGGTAGCGGTACAATCTGAGTGATTTACTGATTTTGTTATATTTTCAGAATTTTTGAAAAAAGATGGGACTGTTTTTCACGATGGTTTGTGATGAGTGATTTTTCTGGTGGTGGGAAGGTTAGATAGGTAAGGAAGGAAAAGTTTGCTCACTCTATTGCTGGGAGTTGATGCATGATGAAGCATGTGTTTAATCAGGATAGCTTTGCTTCAGTTTGCTTGAAATAGAGATGGAATGAGAAAAGCATGTATATATTATATTTGGGTTAATTCGCAAGTGCTGCCTTTATACTACTGCGTGAAATCTGAAGGACCTGATTTTTATTGTTTTCATTTTCTTTTTTTGTTTATGGCTGTTTAGCTGCTGAAGAAGTTTGGCTTGGACCAAACATATGAGGGTCAGGTTGAGCCTGATGGTGAAGAGTTCTGCGTTGAAGACGTGGATGGAGCCCCTGGTGCTTTCCGTGCTTACTTGGATGTGGGTCTGGCTCGTACCACCACTGGAGCCCGTGTGTTTGGTGCCCTGAAGGGTGCTGCTGATGGAGGCATTGACATCCCCCACAGGTATGTCGACAGCAGAGTTTGCTGAGGTTGTCTTTAGCTTGATTGTTATTTTTCTCTTTGTTTTCGCCCATCTCTTGATGCTTGTGTTTATCACTGGTTCTGCAGGCACAGCTTTCTCTTTTCTCCAGTAGTCTGCCAGCTGGATGGGGGGGCTGGGAATTTTCACCAGTTATCGGTATACCCCACCCCCCTCCTTGTGTCATGGGTAACTGTTTAGTCCAATATTTCTTAGATAATTGTTCTACTGGGTTTTGTCCGAATTTTGCTGCATTTGTGAATATGCAGTATAAGACAGATAGCTGGAATTCAACGGGACTGGCCTCTGTAGCTCAAGGGATGTATTACAAAGATAAAGAAAGGGGGAGGGTTTTTCGAGTCTTCTGTGTTCAACCTATCCATGTTATAGGTCTACTGTATTTGAAACATGAGATTTTAGTGATTTTATTTATTTGTTTTAGAATTCTCAGATTTTGTTTTCAACACGTCTCTCGTTCATGTGTACAGCAACCGCAGATTCCCTGGCTACGATGCTGAGAGCAAGAAGTTCAACGCCCAGGTCCATCGTGACCACATCATGGGCAAGCACGTGTCAGACTACATGACCTACCTGCAGGAGAATGATGAGGAAGCCTACAAGAGACAGTTTTCTCAGTTCATCAAAAACAGCATTGCTGCTGGCAAGGTATGCATACATGAAGGAGTTCTTTGACATGAATGCAGTCGGCTAGAAATAATCATTTATTTGTGTTTTACCTATTTCTGTTGTTTTTTTCTGTCAATTTTGGCAACCAGAAATTTTAATGCTTTTGATTGTGGTCTTGGGGAAATGTACTGGGTCAATAGGGTTGGTTAACTAGGATGTGCAAATGGGGTCAGAGGTAGACACTATTTTGGACTGGTGTTTATGCAAATAGCTAAATAGGGCAACTTCATAAAAGATAGTGACACTAAAAAGTTATTTGTAACTAAATATGAGAGCCAAATGACAGCCTTTTAAAAAAATTTTCCTTTTTTGTTTGCCTTACACCAAAAAAAAATTCATGGTTGCAAGAGCAAAACTGGATGGTTTGTGTAGGTTCTCAGGAGGGTTCGCACACTTGTCAAATTTGGTTGATGTTGGCAGGAATGTGTTAAGATCAAGTAGTGCCTGACTTTTTCTAGTACTTTCTGATATTTTTGTCTTGCGGGAAGTCGAATGCTCCACTTCAACAAAAGAAAAAAATATTTTATTCAAAAAGACGTTGAACTTAATCAGCCACCTCAACGTAATTTTTTGTATTCAAATAGATGTGCTGGTACTATCTGAGAGAGATACTAGTCTATATTTTTGCAGCTTATCACACTGGCGTTATTTTGAACCGTTTAGAGAACATTATTATTACTTTCTTGATAGGTGGAGGAGATGTACAAGAAGGCCCACGCTGCTATCCGTGCGGATCCAGAGTCCAAGCCACCCGGCAAGAAGGAGGTGGTCAAGAAGAGGTTCGTTTGTTGTTTTTTTTCCCTTGCTGTACATCTTCATATTTGTCTTTGTAACTTTAAAAATTAACCTTTGTTTTGGCCTTCTCACTTCCTCCCTTCCTGAATGGGGCAGACCCAGATGTGATATTTATCGGACTGAGATCAGTTTTATCTGAATTCTTGGAGGTTTGTCTCTCAGTTATTTGTGGAAGCTCAGCAGCAGTGATCAAGTGACGGTAAGATGCATGTGCTGAAGAATAGTTGAGGCAGCAAACGGCAAAGTTGTATACATATTTTATGGAACTGGCAGGTACAGTTTTTACAGTACAAGGAAAAATGTGAGTGTCTTTTGCCAAAGAAAGAGCTTACTACTTTCTGTTGATATATTTAGTAACAGAATATTGGCAAAACGGTTATGAAATTGCTCTTTTTCATGAAAAGAGACTTAAGTAAATTGGCTATAAAATAAATGCCTGCAACTAAAGTGTATGGTGGAAATTGGCTCTTTATTCAAATCTGTTCCATTTAGCATTATCGACCAGTCAAAAGTGGAGGGGTGTGGCATATGTTCAACGATTTGTATGAAATTTTAGCACAAAGATGGAAAGGAATCCAGTGAAAGTAAATATCAATGTGTTTGTGACACGGGTAGCACACAACTTGTTCTGACATTTTTACATTGGTAGAGTATCAGCCTACATGAGCCCACAAACTTTCAAATGTTTGCTGAAGGAGAACAGAATGAACTACAGCGAAGTCGGTTGTAAATGTCTTCGGACATAGCGGTCTTTTTTCGTGGAACGGGCACCGATGTAACACGGTAAATTGAAACGGTTGTACCGAATTCACTACATCCGTCGTGACGGCTGTAGTGGTGCATATTCTATCCCCAGCCCATATAGTAAAAATAACGGTTTTAACGTTTCCCCGTGGTTAGTTTTGACCCAGCATTGATGGACCCGATGATGTTTTGTAACGTTACGGACATTCACACAATACAGAGCTTCTAGTCTTCCGCAAATGGAAAAATTTCCGTGAAAATTTGTGCCAAATAAATTTTTTTTTCAAAAATGCGAAATAAAAAATTTCTGTAATTACTAAAGGTAGGTAGCGTAAACACGGCCTCGCGGGCACTCACGGCCTTCCGACCGCGTGGTATCTGTGAAATCGGAGTAATTCTGATAGCTGTTTCTTTGCTCTTTCGCTATAAAACACCAAATGCCGTACACCTTGTAAAAGTTCAGCTTTTCCTCGATACAATGGTGTACGTTGTTTATATGTCCGATTATTAGGAGCTGGAGAATCGCCGACGAAGCAAAGCCCTGTGTTGTCGGTCGGTTCAAAAATTGACACGAGTGCGTTCAAATGCTTCGCGGAGCGAGGGATGATTAAATACCGTCTTTTCATTGGTGGAGAACTGTAGAGCTCTAAACGGGCTTTCCCGTGGTATATATTTGGCCTTTAGTGTTTAAATAGAAAGCTTTTAAAAATACTGTCAAAATGTTTAAAGATCACTTTTTACACAAAATATGTATACCGGCTTTAAAAAGATATTAATTAAAAGATCAGTTCATTTCCTTTTAGAATACAGTAATCAACTTGGAATTATTTTTCATCAATCCTTCCTTGAGACTAGGAAAGCATGTGACCTTCACTTACCGAGCACTCTCCCACATAATACTATTTACAGACCTGCCACTCATCCCGATTTAACCGAGATATCCCGATTTTTTACCTCCGGCGGTGTCCTGATTACTGTAACAATTATGACATGGGCCTAAGAATAATCTATTCGTTGTTCTGCCGTTGCTTTAAAAGCAAGCTTCATCCGAGTTCTGATGAAGTCGGGCCCATCATCAAGACCCGTCAGTGGAACTTTCAAATGCTCATTCGCATCACGTGACATGACCGTGTACATATAAGTAGCGCGTGTGTCGGGGACCGTCGGGGTCAACAAGGTTCATTCGCAATGATTGGGACTTACCGGGGGGGGGTGTTTACATTTGGGCTTAAAGTGCGTGCCGTTATACAGGTACTAATTGAGAATAAAGAAACAGGGGAAAAAATAAATGAACAACCTTGATGCAATCTTTCGCAAGTCAAACGTCGTTACTGTATGAAAACGCCGGCTTTTTACATGGATGATTAGAGTTATGTGTCAGCTATTTTCAAGACTATGAGAATTTCAGCTTTACTGCAACCTGCGCTCCCCCAGTCTATCCAACTCCGACTCGAGTACATGTTTTCCCACTACTTAGAGGCCCAAGTGTGAACTTATTCCTGCAAAAGTTTTGTCTTGCATACTTGCCTCATAAAAGGGAACCTGGACCCACCCCCCTTCCCCAGTGGACTGATTTGCCGTTGATCCCGATTTTTTCCACCAGATCCTGATTTTTTTCACTCTAAAATCCTGGTTTTTAGATTTCATAGGGTGGCAGGTCTGTATTTATTATAACCTTACATGATAAGCGCCGAAGCGAACACAGTGCGATACTGCCTTTCTCTCACTTCGTCTAGCACAATGAGGGACAACTATGCGTTGGCACTGTGGCTTAGCGGCGAGCGAAGCGAACACGGTTGGCCCTGCCTCTTTCTCACTTCATGTAGCGCTTCAACGGCTGTTGCGAACTTCCGATGTAGCTATCTTTTTTCTGGTCCCCCCAATGAAACTACTACAAGCGTAGTCGACTGTGTGTAATGTAGTGCAAAACCCAGCATGCTGTAAGTGTTCATCCCGTTACATGTGTATGGGTAAATATTGGAAAAAGTATGTATTTTCTCTCCAGTGAAAAACAAATCTTGTTTGTATGTACAGTCCATGCCGGCTTTAAGCATGGTCATCGGGAGAAAGCTTGAACGTGCTTAACGCCGAAGGGTGCTTGAGTGCGAAGTAGGCATAATCTAGAGATTTTCATGTAGAAAATTCCCCATGCTATTTCCCTTTGTTTGTAAGTAGGCCTATAGCAGTCCCGCAAAAGTGTGCACTGTCATTTAGACACCCTCCATGGTCGTTTTTGTTCGCTTGTTTGTTTTTGTTTTGTGGTCGAATGGGAAATAAAAACTTAATTTAGACGGCCAGTCACGATACAGCACACTAGGCCTACTGTAACACACTGCCTATGCGTACCACTGCCCGCTGTGCCACTCATACCACCACCTTCACCCCACCTCGCGCGTGATACACAATCAGGATTAATGGATAGCTGGGGTCAAAGGTGAAATGGCAGCCAGCCTCCCTTTCTCGTCTCCCTGACTCTCTTTTGGTCGTGTGTAGCTTTGCCCTAGGCCTAGGGTAGATCCTATATCCGCGCGCACGGCTGTGTGCATCTGCCCTCCTCTCTACCCGTGTGAGTGTGTGTCCATCACTTGCGTTCTTTGTGTTTCTCTTGACACACTCCACTGCTGCGGTGTAAACTGTGTTCGAACTTCGATGGGTCATCATGAAAATATTGACTGTCTTGTAAATGAAGCGTGCCTGAAGCCGAAGTTACCGTGCTTAAAGGCGTGTCATTTATATAGCAAAAATTCGGTAAAAGCCGTTTGGCGTGCTTGAGTCCGAAACATGCTTTAAGCCGGCACGGACTGTATATATATAACTTACTACCATTTGACATGAGAATGTTTTATACAATTTCCTATCTGGTTCAAGCATCTATATTCACCATATGTTATGTTTTTTTGTCTTATCAGGTGGAACAGGAAGAAGCTTTCCAATGCCCAGCGCAAGGCCCGTGTTGTCCAGAAGAAGGAAGCTTACCTCAAGTCTCTCGACGACGAATAAATGCTGGATGAAATGTTATCTCTATGAGAGCGTGATTTGTGCTTGTCATAGAAGAATAAAGTTCCAAAATATGACAGAACAGTTTCTGTGATTTCTTTTTACTTTAAATGTGTGTCTCGGGCAAAGAGAAGGGACATTTTTGGTGTCAGCCCCCCCCTTTTTTTTTCCACATTTTTTGCACCTACTCCTCGACTTCTACCCGACCCTTTCCTTTTCCATGGTCTTGTCTTTGACTGCTACTGGACCCATTCCCTTCCCTGTCACTTTTCCATGCTCTTGTTTTGTTGTATTGTTTTCCCATATAGCAGGTGGTTAGAAGGTGCCACTGGATAGACCTGCATGTTTGCCGACAATCGCGAGCCGACCAATGCTATCGCTAGGCCCACCTTGTTGGTCAATGTGCGTAGTGCGAGGCCTGGCCGACTGCCAGCGCCCCCTTTTTCTCTCGTCGGCACTTTCGTTTTCGTGCTGACGTCGGCGTTTCCGACATAATTGTCAGAACCTAAGTAGAAATGCGAATACTGAAAAGGACGACGACCTAAATTATCTACTTTCAGTTTCGTGCCGAGCAACCATTTTGAATTTCGTTTGTTGACTAATTCAATTGTTCAGATCGTGTGGATTCATTCAAGTCCGAGTCACTTGTTCTAACAGAATCTACATTTAGATAATTATATATTTTATATAGACCTCAATGGAGGATTCATATTCCAATTCTATTTTGTCAAACCCTATCATAGGTTATGCTGTAATATTAATGTTGGTAAAAAGCTTTTCATGAGGTGCGTGAATCGTGAATTATTTAGTTCAGTGGAATCCTGTTATAACGAGAGGCAGGGGACCGGAGAAAAATGTCCATTATAGCAGGATTCTCGCTATAAGGGTTGTAGTAATAAATTCAAGGGAAACTGTAAAGTAGGCCTAATCTATGAGTTTGGTGTTCTATTTGTTTCCCTTTGCTATACCCGCTGATGATGATTTTGTTTCAACATGACCTCTAGATCTTACTCGATCAAAAATCGAATCAGGTTCCTTTCTCTAGCGCCAGATAGATCTAGTGATGTTGACTGACAGTTCGGCTTTGGCGATCAGAAAGAAAGGGCTCTGGGCCAACTCACTCGCTGTGTTTTCCCCCACCCCACCACACCCTGTGGTGCATTCTGTCTGCTTGCGCACGTCACACATTCACAATGCTGTGACCTCTCCATCCCCGCATCAGAGAAGTGAGAGGCATGGTAAGCCTTGATAATCTAAACTAGGCTTACGCTGGCCTATCAAGTGATGCGTCCTGCTTGTCTGTATATCTCACACCCTCCCTACTCAGTCGCTCCGGCCTTCATTGTTGGCACACATTGGCTCTCCCATTCTTTGTTTCGCTAGATCACCAACTTGTTTCTCAACTGGCGAGGTTTTACATTATGTATAATTTGCCCATGCACTGCGCACAGCAGCAGCAATATTCCGCTATAACCGACTCGCGTGTTTGTCTGATTGCGCTTTAGCAGTATTTTATTTATAACGGTTAAGAAGAGAAAAAAACGGGGTTTTAGAATAGTGTCTTTATTATAACAGACTTCTCGTTTTTTCCGGACTCGTTATAAGTGGACTCCACTGTATAGATCTATCTAGATCTAGACTCAGCTGAGCCCCTCTGTTCGGAATCGGATGCGGATTTCTAATCTAGATCTAGCTCAAGGCCTATTCCTACTCACTTGTTCTACAAGATCTGGATCTAGGTTTATTTAGATTACTAGATCTAGAACTAGAATCTATATACTATATATGGAGGATTCATAATTCCAATTCTATTGTGTTATTGTATCAAACCCTATTATAGTAATGTAGATATAGGCCATATTAATAATTTTAATCTCCTTGTTTGTTTTGGAGTGGGTTTTTTTTTTCCATTTTGGACTTGTGCTGGCCTTTTTTACATGAGGCCCGTTGCAGGTTCTTTTGTGGGTTTTGTTGGGGTGGTCGCTCGTTACTCGGAAGTCCTTCCTTGTGACACCCACAAAAGTTCTATGGGGTTTTCCGCAAAATTTTCAGACAATCTGGTTGAGGCTCACATGCAGGTCTACACTGGAGGTCCTACTTTATTTTTTCCTCCATTGTCTGTCTGTCTGTCCGTCTTACTTTTTCCCAGCACTAAATGACCATTATTTTGTCGACGTGTTTCTCTTTACTCAAACAATGTCCCGTACCTTTTGCTGTGGGTGGGTGCTCAGGTTGGGTTTTCTCCTTTATTTCTATCAAACGTCTGTCGTCTTCATCTCCCCTCCTTTATGTGTTTGTTACTCTCATGTAATACCATTCCTCTAATCTTCATCGCTGTATGTATGACCTTATTGTGTTGTAAGTGCCGCAAAACAACCCCATACAATTTGTTGTCATACTTTCCTGTCTGTCAGTTCCCTTGCCTGGTAACCTACATTTGAACGGTAGGCGTCATCTATTGGCTGTGGGTTAATTTTTGTAATGCAGAATCTTCCACGTGCCCAATCAGAAGCATTCTTTCTCACAAACGTGTTGAGGACATGATGCACAACTAAGGAATGCCTGGTCATCGAATCCTAGCAGAGATCGTAAATGTTTTTGTTTTGCTGCTGAACATTATATTACACTAGAAAAAAAAAGTAAATGATTCTTGTTTTGAACCAAATTGCTCCAGACTATGATGAAGTTGAAAAAAAAAGGATTTTCTGGTGAACAAAGATGGAGATGAAAATACATGTAGTCTGTAGTTGCCATGGACTAAGAAAAATGTAAACTGAAGTGTCTCCTGAAGAGACACTGAGCACCTGCACTTGAAGATGTCAAAAAAGCACTTCTAACTTCTAATCTTATTTCTGGTGTGGCAGTGATTGTTGTGCAAGCCTGACCCACTTGTTCAGGGGCTATGCTAGGCAAAGCAATCAGTCTGGGGCGCCATTGTTGTTTTTTCCCCCCCTCACTTTAAAACTTAAAGTAATAAACGTTCAGAATGATTGGCGCTCATATGAATGACCGTATGCAGTTGCGAGCGCCATAAAGCCAACTGAAACTAAACAAACATCTATTCCCGGTCGTGTATTGAGGAAATAACTTTTGGTAAGCTAATGTTAGTCGCACCTTTCTTTTATTCTAATGAAACTGATTCATCCAATGTGAAACTGGTGTAGTGGTCAAGTGCTTCGTAATCGCATGCAGGAGACCTGAGTTAGGGGAATTTTGATTGAGTATGGTTTTGTATCCCACTAGTACTACTACTACATGTAGTCAGCCTGTGTTGGTCCTCATTGGCAAGCTTTCACACACATAGAAATGTGGGGCAGAGTATTTTGTGGATCACTATAATAACCCTAGGATCCCAGGCCTACGCCTACCCCACCCCACCCCGAGCAAAATTCAAGAAAAACAGGCATGCTATTACATGTACTATTATTAGTATTGTTATTCATTAAAAGTTGTTCCCGCATCCGATCCGGACATTGGGGATTGCCTTGTTAGTAATGTTAGTGAGACAACTTCCTCTGGGCCGTTGGCATATTGTGGTAGAGTTGCCAGTTCCTTTTCACGCTGCCTTTACTTCCCCAACTCAAAGTCAGGTACCCATTACTGTTGGTGGGGGGGTGCGAAAAAAAAATCAGTGTCCGAACTGAGACTCGAACTCGGACTTTCCGCTTCGGAGACGAGCTCACTAACCGCTCCACCACCGCATCCTCATCTCATTGTGTTCGTACTCATGCAAAAACACAAAGTAATTAAGATTGTTCCTACCCTCCTACCTCCAATACTGCTGCTTGGTATGCCAATCTGTTTGTCTCTATCTACTTCTGGGTAGGTGCGAGGTCTAAACTTGTCATCCCAAAGCCCGAAATATATGGGTCTTTGGGCAAAGACATTTTAGCTGCACCCCGATATAATATATCGGAGTCTCGAGTCCATTGGGTTAAAAAAGAAATCTTTGGCCTGTAGAAGTGTCCTTGTCATGCAAAGTTTTGAGAGCATAGTGTTAGAGTTAGTGTTAACATTAGTAGGTAAATTAAATACGGTAGCTACAATTTTTTTCATGTGGACAGACGAAAGAGAACAAGCTACTACAAGGTCTGTCTCAGAATAAAGTTTCCCTCCATAAAATCAAAAATATGTAACCAACAGCTACAAAATTTTGTGACGTCATGACATGTCTAAGAAATCTTAAGGCCAAATTGCAAGTGCATTGGTGAACGGGTCACATACAGCTGTGACGTGTCAAGTGTGGTGTTCTTGTGCACTTTGTCCAAGGCAAATTTGAGAAAAAATGGCTGAGCAAAACATTGATGCCACCTTCTCATGCTACGATGTCCGATTTGTGATCAAGTTTTCAACTTTTCTTGGCAAGTTTGCTGTTTCAACCCATGGTGATCTATACAAAGTAAATGCGAATAAAGCCCAATCAATTCAAACAGTAAGGAAATGGATCTGGGAGGTCTGACATGAAAGATGAAATGCACACAGAAAACACGGGGAGAGAAAGGTGATGCATTGTTTTTTTCGACATAAGTGGCATCATACAATGTAGGCCTACTGAGCCGGCTAGTCACACCTGGTGTTAACTGTCAATGTTAACTGTCGCTTTGGTTGAAGAAGATGTCATCCTGCATCATGACAACGTGCCTGTTCACAAGTCCAGAGCTGTGAACGAGCTTTTTGAGGGCTACGTGGGAATTATTGGAACACTCGCTCTATTCGCCCCGATTTCACTCCATGCAACTTCCACCTCTTCCCCAAGGTGAAAGAAATCCTGCGAGGTCAGCAATTTGAGAACGAGGACCAGATTCAAGAGGCTATGACTATGAAAAAACACTCGGGACCTTGGACAAACGATCACTGATCGCTGGGTATATCAAATGGAGAAATGTCTTGGACTTGATGGTTCTTACGTTGAATAGGTTGGATAAGCTTTCTGTTGATACCAAATACAGGGTGATTTATATATGTGAGGACAGCATGACAGGAAAACTTTATTCTGAGACAGACCTCATATCTTGTTTTATCAGGCATGATTACAACAATAGGCCTAGGCCTACATTGTGGAATGAATACACAGAAAGACATGG